AGTGCAGTCATCCATTTCGCCCATAAAATGAAGCTCAAAATTGTAAAAATTTGAATATTTTATTTTTGGCATGACAAATGCATCTTGGTACAGGGCTTAAAATAACCACAGGACATCAGACAATGTCCATCCAGAACTGGGACTTGTCTGATCAGATCTTTGTCTTGCTGGTCATTTTGAACAGAAAATGTTGAGCAAGAAATGAGGTATGACCAAGCTTAAACTAATTTGGCCAGTGATGATGGCTGACGACTGATAGGCTGTTATTTTAAGCCCTCTTGGTAAAAAGAATGGACCTAAGTTCCATTTTTTAAATTCAAAATGTTATACCCCTGCCTTTAATAAAATCTGGTCTACATTCTGGCCATTTTAAGCCAATAGTAAAGATAAAGTTATGAACCGAATCTTAACACCTTGACATAGAATGACACGTTGTAATCATGCATGGTTAGTAAAAGTAATCCTAGTTAAAGTTCACAGTTATTTGTATAGGAAATCACATGATCTCGAGTACAATTTGGTATTAATAGACATGAGTAATGTTTTGAAAGTTCTTGTAATTGCACGAGCCTTTAGGCGAGTACGAGTGTCTATTAATTCCAAATTGTACGAGAAGATCGTGCGATTTTTGTTTATAGTTCACTCAACAAAATTTCAGTAAAAAATGTGAAGCGACGCCGTCCAACTTTGTCTATTTGGTGGCTGATTTTCAGTCCATCACGCAACTGAAACGCATAAAAAAGATTAGTTCTTATTAGTTTTTAGGGCTTTTTTTTGCTGCTGTTGACATTGTTTTGGCCGTGTTTCCTACGGAGTACAATTAACGCTATAATTGTACTCCTCTCGAACAATCAGAGTCGAGTAATTTTGTTGCGTGTACTATAAATATATTAGTTGTTCATGCATATGATTTACTACCTTCAAGTCCATTAGTCTTGTCTTGGCCAGAGCAATATAGTCATGAACAAATGTACGCAGTTTGGAAGGGACTTCTGGAGACTTGATTATCTGAACCTGAAAGAGTTAACTCTCAGTTTAAC